TGTAAGTATTTTCTGTAGTGTGCATGAGACGTGTGACGTGTAACGAAGTGTTAAAATTACAATGTCAGTATAGGATTGTGAAGATTTTTGAGTTTTAATTGAGATCATGAACCGATCAATCTTAGACCATCATTAAAAATCTGGAAGCAATGCACGGTCGTCTCTCTCCAGTATGGGACCTCTCAGCAGTGCACATACACAATCCAACACACGGGATGCGAATCCAGGACCGTCGGTCTCATGTACGAACGCTTAACCTCTAGACCACTGAGCCGAATTTCAACGGTCTTATTGTCTAACTTCAACCAATCCACGATATTGTGAGAGTATCTTCCATTGTCTTCGATGTATGATTGCCTCACACTCGACACGGTTGGACTCCCCTGGTCATGGCTTCTCGAAGCTAGTCACTAGTACTCCCAAATTTTCAACGGTGGTCTGACATTGATCAGTTCATGATCAAAATTATAACAGAATGTATATATTCGTAAGTGGATCTGCGGTGTGAGGAATCTCACTGACTATTTATCACCTATGATCGGTGAACTTTTAAAGAAAAACACAATTTTTATGTGATATGAATCAAATATGTCACAGCATGCATTAAATGAAGACAAATTAACATAATAAAAATAAATAAATGAATGTTTGTGTTATTTTTGCTGTTCCACTTAACTGTTTATCATATTCAGACAAGACAACTGATAAGAACAATTGAATTTCATTGTTGTTATTTAGATAGTAAGTGATATATTAAATGAAATAAAGAGTTCAGGTTTATCTATGAATTATTAGTTGCTATGGGACAGCTAATTGTATTCCGTCTCTTCTATCAATACTATTTGGATTTGCCCATATGTATAGGGCTTCGGCTGTTAGTCTTTCTTTGTAAGAGTTAAAACCTTTTCGTAGGATTCTTGTGCCATTGAAATCAATTGTATGACCCAACTTGATTAAGTGTTATGCTATTGCTGATTTGTTTTCGAGCTTTTTATATTATCTGAGGATTTAGGAATGTGCTTTAAGCAAAACTTGTGTTTCCTCACCCTCACATTCAGTGGTCATAATGTTTCAACTACATACACAGCATGACATAATAATAAATACAATCACTACATTTGATATCATAAACATATTTTTAATGTTCCTCCTTTTGCATTGGATCTTCGATTCTTAACATTTCGGATCCTAGAGTATTGTTTGTTGGAAAGAATACTCTTATATTTTAAAGATTTAGGATCCTTCCGAAACTCCTTTGCGATACGGGATCACTACCGTGTTCAGTTTAGTTTTTATCATATTGTATTCATCTTCTAAATTATTCTTTTTATAAAATCCCTAGGATAATTATTCGTCATCAAAGTGGACATTACTAAATTCGTTTCAATCTCTTTGTCACTTGATCCATTGGCGAGTTTTTAAACACTGATTACTAAATTCTTGGCCACTATCATTTTGGTAGAATGGGCATTTGGTTAATTGTAATCTAGATATTTCCCGGAATATGTTGTCTTTCGAAATATATTAGTTTTTTTTTTTTAAAAAAAATCATTACCTTTTCTTTCAACCAAACAGTCGAGAAAACTTAATTTATGGTTAGCAAATTCAATTTCCTTAGTGCATTTGATTTTGTCAGATATATTGTCGACATTTTCAAACAGTTCTTGTTTTTAATGACAAAAGTGTCCTCTGTGTACCTCAATCAGATTTTTAGTGTTCCGTGAAAAAGCTTGAACCAGATTACCGAACGAAATATACAAATATATTATTCCTCCTTAACATTACCATTCAGTTGAATAGGAAACGAGAAAATCCAATATGGGAAAAAAACCATATCTACATATAATTTCAGTCAATAAATAGCATTTAGTATATAATTATAATAATCAACTGAATGAAGACTTCTTCGTCATCTCTTCAGTTTAATGAATTTACATCTTAAATCTATTTTTATGTCTTGTATTGACTGTATCGGATACCACGTAACAATCGATATACGCTTCTACTATTCAGTGATAAATGTAATCCATCTTTGGGTAAATGACTGCGTTGTGGAAATTCGAGTTACTATATTTTATTCAATGGAATAGTAATTTATCAAAACAACAGAAACCATGTTTTGAGAAAGTAAATAATGCTGAAAGACAGAAATGTTTAAAAATACGAATAATTCGTACTGACTGGGACTCAACGGTTGTAATTAACTTGAGTCCCAGTGTATTTGTCATCTCTTCCACAAAGACTCGGACCCACAAGCTAGCATTTTAAGTATCAAAATGATGTCTGTTAGACAATGGAGTTAAGTTCCAGTGCTCGATCAGTCACAGTGAGAACAATAATAGTTAGTGAGATATAAGTACGTTCAGCAGACATTCCAAATAGGATGAAATGGATGTCTTGTATAACATAAATGTACTGTAAACTACTTGAAATTTCACTCTAACAACTTATAATTACCGTTACCAGATCATTTTGATCTCACGCCTGTATTATTGAAATCGATTCTGTTCACTATTAAACGTCAGTCAGCTACAAGGTAGGACCAGGCACATGTGTGCATCGCTCTAAGTTGCCATACGTAAGAGCAGTCTATGAGATCACATAGCCTTTGGCTCACATTTTCTCTCTCTCAGTTCTTCTAAAACATGGTACTCTTCACACTACCCCAAAGACATTACGTAACTCCACACTATACTAAAACCTAACAAAGACTGAACGTTATAATATCAATATAAGACTGCTGAATAAACACCAATTATTATCGAGAGAATACGAACACGTGCATAGATTGCACTTTCATGACCTGATATCATTCCTAGATTGGCGTTAACCTGAATAGTTTAGTGGTGCCGTCTTTAACTGAGACGCTTGGCTTGAATCCCACAGGAATTATCGTCAAGATTCCAAACATGACCAGGTGACAAATGTTCAGCACTACACAACCTAGGTCTACGCTGGCTTCTGATTGCCTACAACTACTTAAAGGCGAGAAAGTGTGGTGTCCAAAAACTTAGGCTATTATTTGCAATGCAACTTGGTCAACAGCACCCAATCAGCAATAAATACTAAACAAATACGGCACTGACACTACGTACGACTAGCTAGTCACTTAGTAGTAACCAAAGTGATACGACTTCTTACGAACTACTTACAATAAATAGAACGGTAACCATAAAATAATCATCTTAAACTAAAATATTTATCAATCTCATCGTTGTCCATAAGCACTCCTTTACGCAAAGCATTGTGTTTAACAACTGACAGGATAGACATATGTCCGTTAATGTAGTTCCTCATATAAGGACCCTGGTCAACCGTTCTAAACAGAAAGACATTGTCATACAAACTGTGTTAACTTCTCGTTTATCCTGAAATCATGCTAAATTGATGTAGAACTTCCTGTAGCACAAAAATTAACTTACCACTTCTAGGCATCCTATTTATGCTTACTCATTTGACTTTCACAAGTTTGCACTTACACCAAGAATGGTAACAGAACCCAAAGATCCTGACTCTATTAGTTATGTGAGGTGGCCATTAGCGTATCTCTACCGTGAGTCCGATAATTTTCGGCCATATTATTCTTGTTAAATATGTGAAGTAAGACCCTAAAAAATAAGTCACCTACTTATCTATGGAACAAGCCAGGTTTGTATATCAGGATTAAAAACTATGAAGTAGTGATCGAAATCCTTAAATCTAATATTAGATCACTACCACGCAGAAATCTTCCTAATTCACAGGTACTTTTCAAGCCACTATGTTTCTGAAGGGAACAACTTAACTTCTAGAAATAACACTAAACGCAGAATCCGTCCAGAAAAGACATCCCTGACAAGAATTAGTTTTAATTACATAAAACTTCAGTACACTGAGACCATTCGGTATAATTCTGAGAACATGCAGTAATAAGACAGCCAATTTGAGATTTAATGCATAGCCGCAAGCGATATCTGACCAACTGAATAAACTAGTATAATGGACAACAGCATATGTTTTGAAGAATTTGAAATACAGAAGGCGAACCAATCTAACAAGCACTTCTGAACCAGTCTAGACGATGGAGGGTGTTGGAGCTGCAGTCAGTATTGATCTCGAGGTATAAGTCTGCTATTGATTCCGTGTTATAAGTTTGGGAGAACTACTATCATACGAACTTTGAGAGAGGAAGTTCAGGGTGTCCCGATCCACACTATTTTAAACTATATACTCCGACACCTGGGAACTCAGATCTGATAATAACACGTTTTTGGTCGGTGACAAGGATTTACACCGACACTCTAAACTCTTGCAGTCCCGCTTAATTTGAGAATATTCGTTCCCAAAAGAATAGGACCACTCTATTAGGTGCTCAGTCTTATTAGCAGGTAACAATCGGAAAGAATTGAGTCGCCAGCTGTGTTTAGTTCAACAGTATATATGGCTTTGGACAAAACAGCCTCCAGTGCTTTATTTCTTCACACATCTTAGCAAGTCCCGAAGGTAAGGTGGCCTCAAAAATGAGTAATGTCTTGTCCCCACACACGTGAAACCAACCGAGTATCTAAATGTGGAGGCTTGTGTTATATCTGCAACTGGCAAGTTACTAAACCATACCACGACACGTGAACCAATCGATCCCAACTTAGTTTGACTTTCCTTGGGTATTGCACAGGGATACACACGTCCAATCCTAAGTTACGTCGTCAACGGCCATAACCCCTTCAACTAACAAATCCTATCCCATTTATTAAGGTTATCGGCCATGGTGTTGCTGAAAACTTCAACAAACCAGGCTAAAGTATTCGATCGATATCTATCTATCAAACTAACCTGAGCGCTTCAGCAATAGGCACGATGGCGTCCACGTAAGGACGATTATATCGGTACAGCAAGCAATATGGACGAAACAATGATCTCCAATACCAACATTGTTATGACGCTGGTTCAAACGAAACGACTTACAAATGCAAACACCACGCTGCTTTCCAACAGAATGAAATAAAGCTTATAAACAGTGTATTCGATAAAAAATGTTACAGTAGCCATCGTTTTACAAATGCAGGACGGCCCGTTAGGTTTAAAAAGAAACATCTGTAAACAATATAAAATAACACCATCTGTATACAGCAATTGTACGTCAAACATTAGTTTTTAAAACTATTAAGGACTAATCATCGGACTCTGAATCTTCTGTCTTGGACTTTTTGCCGGCTTTGTATTTTTGCATCGCCTAGAAAGTGTAAAAGTTACTTAAAAGCAACCTACTTTCTCGTAACGTTGCTTCTCTACCTGGGCTAAGCTCTCATACTTAGCTTTGTTTTTACAATGCTCCCATCTTTTACCTAGTTCTTTAGCTACCTCACTGACTTTCCAGTCGGGATTTTCTGATTTGACTTTAGGTCGTTCATCATTACAAAAGAGGAAAAATGCTGACAGCGCCTTTTTGGGTGCATCAGGGTCTCGTTTCCTTTTCTTACTGCGACCTTCATCGGCAGGAGGTTCATAATGTTCCATCTCACATCGATAACGCTCTTTGTCCTTCTCTGCTATATCCTTGAACTTCTTTTTTTCTTTAGCCGATAGATTCTGAAATACAATAAACTACGAACACATAACGTACCTTCCACTGTTCTGAGCACTCCTTTGAAAAAGCCTTGAAATCTAGAGTGACATTGGGATGTTTCTTCTTATGGTCGGCACGCATAGATTGCAAGAATGCTGCATAAGCATTCATAGCACCTTTTGGTTTACCCTTGTCTTCAGCCATCTTTGCTGAGCTGGTTGAATTCAAAAGGCTAGTCCAGAAGGCCGGACAAACTCAAACGGCCCTAATTAGACTAAGTACGAACAAAGCAGTATCTGGTGTTCAAAAGACAATGTCTTATTTCAGTAGTTGAATAAATCAATTATCTTTATCTAATTAACTAATGTCCAAACTTGGTGAGTTACACCTAGTAATGTCATCATCTAAATGAGATGAATCCGATTTTCGAAAAAGTAAGCAAGTATGGGAGGAACCAGAGGGGATTAATAGAACATGGCTCAGGAGGATGACTCTTAACAAAGTATACCAAAATCATCAGTCACATTGATTTATATTAAACGAAGTGTACGTAGTTACGTGGTATCTCCTTACAACAGTATATATATTAAGGATGGTCAGAAACAGATCGTATCTAACTACCGGCCTGCCAGTCTAACTAGCATTGCCGTTAAGTTACTTGAAAAGATAATTCAGGTTACGTTGTTAAGCCACATAGATTCACACAATCTCTTAAATCTCGAGCAACATGGATTTCGTAACAAGCGTTCATGCTTGACTAACTTGCTTATTGTGAGAGAGGATTGGACAGCAGACCTAGGTAACGGTCTGTGATATTCATAGATTTCAGCGAAGCATTTGACAACGTTTCACACTGAGGTCTTATGCAGAAGCTTTCGAGTTTCGGAATAACAGGTGCTATACAGGAATGGATAGGAAACTTCTTATGTGACCGCAGACAGAGAGCGAGGATCAATGGAACGCTATCCGAAAGGAGGCCGGTCAAAAATGATATACCCAAAGGCACCATCTTAGGCCCTCTGCTCTTCCTTCTCTACGTTAATTAGTTACCACTGTTGCCTAAGTCGCCGACATTATTGTTTGCGCATTACGCAAAAATCTGGAGAACAACAAAACGTGAGGCTGGTCATTTGGATCTCCAAGCTGACTTAGACGATTTAGTTAGACGGGCTGGATGTTGGTGCTTAGAAGTACTCATGCACATCGGACATGGTAATAGTTACAATTATACTAATGATGGTACATCTCTTCCACGCGTTCAAGAACATGAAGACTTAGAAGGAATAATAAGCAATGACTTGAAAAAAACTACGCATTGCAATGCAGCTGCTGTCAAAGGTTTTCGTGCGTTATGGTCACTTCGCCTAACATTCAAATGCTGTGACGAGGAAATATTTCGAATTTTACATTCCATCTATGTAAGACCACACTTAGAGTACTGTACCAAGTAACTGGTCCATGTCTGATAAAGGATATTAACTCACTTGAGCGTGTGCAGCGTGTGGGAACAAAATTAGTGAAGGGTCTTTCCAAAGTCCTCTACGATAAGCACTTAAATCGCATAAACCTTTTCCTCTTGTCGTATCGTAAGTCTCGAAGTGACCTTATATTGGCATTTCGTCTTGTTCATTGTGATTTGAGTGTCACTGTCCTATCCTTTCGTCCCCTTCAGCACTAGTTTTCTCCGAAGTCATAGCAAGAAAGTTCACAAACCGCGTTCTAATAATTTTAATGTGGGGTTCCGTTTTTCTCATCGAGTAGTCAATGGTTGGAACTCCTTACCCGAGGAAGTGGTATCGGCCCCATCGGTGAATATTTTTAAGAAGAAGCTGGACCTTCACTGGAAGGCAATCTGTCAGGATTAGTACAGGTTCACCAATCTACTATCCTTATTACTAAAGACTGAAGAGTTTATTAACAAGTGGTTATCAACTTGATGAAGTTACTACAAAATATCCTAGCACTCATCATTATTGTTTGTGCGAGTAGTGAGATGGAAAACCTTATTGTACTTGCTGATGAATAACTCTCATTTACTTATGGTAGGTTTAAAAAACTAATAAATTTGCCATTTTTATGTGCCATCCCGAGTGATCTTAGACACTCTAAAACTGAGCCAAATTAGGTAGTCTTCTGTTAAAGAGATGGTATTAAACCTGTTTACATTTATTGTGTCCTATTACTCTACTTTAAAAGTGGAAAAAATATGTCAATCTTAAAACCTGTTCCAAGGCATAAATATCCCAATATATAATAACGCTTCTGCTCTTCCTTCTCTACGTTAATTAGTTACCACTGTTGCCTAAGTCGCCGACATTATTGTTTGCGCATTACGCAAAAATCTGGAGAACAACAAAACGTGAGGCTGGTCATTTGGATCTCCAAGCTGACTTAGACGATTTAGTTAGACGGGCTGGATGTTGGTGCTTAGAAGTACTCATGCACATCGGACATGGTAATAGTTACAATTATACCAATGATGGTACATCTCTTCCACGCGTTCAAGAACATGAAGACTTAGAAGGAATAATAAGCAATGACTTGAAAAAAACTACGCATTGCAATGCAGCTGCTGTCAAAGGTTTTCGTGCGTTATGGTCACTTCGCCTAACATTCAAATGCTGTGACGAGGAAATATTTCGAATTTTACATTCCATCTATGTAAGACCACACTTAGAGTACTGTACCAAGTAACTGGTCCATGTCTGATAAAGGATATTAACTCACTTGAGCGTGTGCAGCGTGTGGGAACAAAATTAGTGAAGGGTCTTTCCAAAGTCCTCTACGATAAGCACTTAAATCGCATAAACCTTTTCCTCTTGTCGTATCGTAAGTCTCGAAGTGACCTTATATTGGCATTTCGTCTTGTTCATTGTGATTTGAGTGTCACTGTCCTATCCTTTCGTCCCCTTCAGCACTAGTTTTCTCCGAAGTCATAGCAAGAAAGTTCACAAACCGCGTTCTAATAATTTTAATGTGGGGTTCCGTTTTTCTCATCGAGTAGTCAATGGTTGGAACTCCTTACCCGAGGAAGTGGTATCGGCCCCATCGGTGAATATTTTTAAGAAGAAGCTTGACCTTCACTGGAAGGCAATCTGTCAGGATTAGTACAGGTTCACCAATCTACTATCCTTATTACTAAAGACTGAAGAGTTTATTAACAAGTGGTTATCAACTTGATGAAGTTACTACAAAATATCCTAGCACTCATCATTATTGTTTGTGCGAGTAGTGAGATGGAAAACCTTATTGTACTTGCTGATGAATAACTCTCATTTACTTATGGTAGGTTTAAAAAACTAATAAATTTGCCATTTTTATGTGCCATCCCGAGTGATCTTAGACACTCTAAAACTGAGCCAAATTAGGTAGTCTTCTGTTAAAGAGATGGTATTAAACCTGTTTACATTTATTGTGTCCTATTACTCTACTTTAAAAGTGGAAAAAATATGTCAATCTTAAAACCTGTTCCAAGGCATAAATATCCCAATATATAATAACGCTTCTGCTCTTCCTTCTCTACGTTAATTAGTTACCACTGTTGCCTAAGTCGCCGACATTATTGTTTGCGCATTACGCAAAAATCTGGAGAACAACAAAACGTGAGGCTGGTCATTTGGATCTCCAAGCTGACTTAGACGATTTAGTTAGACGGGCTGGATGTTGGTGCTTAGAAGTACTCATGCACATCGGACATGGTAATAGTTACAATTATACCAATGATGGTACATCTCTTCCACGCGTTCAAGAACATGAAGACTTAGAAGGAATAATAAGCAATGACTTGAAAAAAACTACGCATTGCAATGCAGCTGCTGTCAAAGGTTTTCGTGCGTTATGGTCACTTCGCCTAACATTCAAATGCTGTGACGAGGAAATATTTCGAATTTTACATTCCATCTATGTAAGACCACACTTAGAGTACTGTACCAAGTAACTGGTCCATGTCTGATAAAGGATATTAACTCACTTGAGCGTGTGCAGCGTGTGGGAACAAAATTAGTGAAGGGTCTTTCCAAAGTCCTCTACGATAAGCACTTAAATCGCATAAACCTTTTCCTCTTGTCGTATCGTAAGTCTCGAAGTGACCTTATATTGGCATTTCGTCTTGTTCATTGTGATTTGAGTGTCACTGTCCTATCCTTTCGTCCCCTTCAGCACTAGTTTTCTCCGAAGTCATAGCAAGAAAGTTCACAAACCGCGTTCTAATAATTTTAATGTGGGGTTCCGTTTTTCTCATCGAGTAGTCAATGGTTGGAACTCCTTACCCGAGGAAGTGGTATCGGCCCCATCGGTGAATATTTTTAAGAAGAAGCTGGACCTTCACTGGAAGGCAATCTGTCAGGATTAGTACAGGTTCACCAATCTACTATCCTTATTACTAAAGACTGAAGAGTTTATTAACAAGTGGTTATCAACTTGATGAAGTTACTACAAAATATCCTAGCACTCATCATTATTGTTTGTGCGAGTAGTGAGATGGAAAACCTTATTGTACTTGCTGATGAATAACTCTCATTTACTTATGGTAGGTTTAAAAACTAATAAATTTGCCATTTTTATGTGCCATCCCGAGTGATCTTAGACACTCTAAAACTGAGCCAAATTAGGTAGTCTTCTGTTAAAGAGATGGTATTAAACCTGTTTACATTTATTGTGTCCTATTACTCTACTTTAAAAGTGGAAAAAATATGTCAATCTTAAAACCTGTTCCAAGGCATAAATATCCCAATATATAATAACGCTTCTGCTCTTCCTTCTCTACGTTAATTAGTTACCACTGTTGCCTAAGTCGCCGACATTATTGTTTGCGCATTACGCAAAAATCTGGAGAACAACAAAACGTGAGGCTGGTCATTTGGATCTCCAAGCTGACTTAGACGATTTAGTTAGACGGGCTGGATGTTGGTGCTTAGAAGTACTCATGCACATCGGACATGGTAATAGTTACAATTATACCAATGATGGTACATCTCTTCCACGCGTTCAAGAACATGAAGACTTAGAAGGAATAATAAGCAATGACTTGAAAAAAACTACGCATTGCAATGCAGCTGCTGTCAAAGGTTTTCGTGCGTTATGGTCACTTCGCCTAACATTCAAATGCTGTGACGAGGAAATATTTCGAATTTTACATTCCATCTATGTAAGACCACACTTAGAGTACTGTACCAAGTAACTGGTCCATGTCTGATAAAGGATATTAACTCACTTGAGCGTGTGCAGCGTGTGGGAACAAAATTAGTGAAGGGTCTTTCCAAAGTCCTCTACGATAAGCACTTAAATCGCATAAACCTTTTC